TTACACAGTGCAGCTTTAAGTATTCAGAATTTTGTGTATTAGAACTCCACAGGCTGTTAGTGCAAAATTATATCTGGATTCTGCAACTATTAAAGTGAATATTTGTAATAAAAGACCAAAAGAACCAACAATTATTCATCCAAACATCATTTAAAATCTGTTTTATAAAATGGACCGAGGGGGAAAAATACTTAAAAGTTCCTCAATATTGCACAAAACTGACTCTTGTGAGTTTTAAGTCATGTTCTAATATTCTAATCTAATATATCTAATATTGTTCCCTCGTCAAAAACAGAGCTGGAGTTGTGTTTTGTTTCATTCACACGTTTGAGTAAATCTTTATTATTTGTCTTTTTAAAGCTCCAAATGCTCTGTTCCACCTTGTGATGTCATGAAGTGGTAGTTTTCAAGTAAACATCTCCTTTTTAACCTTTAGTTCAGGCAATTCCAGTTCTGAAATGATCCAAATGATTCTACTGAAGGTGTGTGGAGTTTAAAAACACAGTGGAACACTTCCTTCCTGTATTACCACGACATCACAAGGTGGAATGTGGTGTTTTCTGTAAATCTGCAGGATTTCTAATGAAACAAAACACTCATCGGGTCAGGTTTTGATGAGGAAATGTCACAAGTCAGAAAATGGCGCAACGTTCAACCTTTAAATAATTTCCACACTTTTCAACGCGCCGCTTTATTACAGCACAATAAAGTCAAACGTAACGTCGTGAGAACGAAGTGAAGAGAGACGAATGTATCAGAAAAATGTAGAAAATTGCAGCGAGAGCAGGTCTGGTCTGCGGTTCGCTCAGAGCAGTGGGAAAAGACCACTCTCACTCGCTAATGTCAGGTTCATTTGTCAAAATCTGTCACTACTCCAGCGAGTCTGGGCAGGCCGTCTGTAATCGCTCCGCTCAAATGTGTGGACGAGTTTCTTGGAAGATTTCTGACAGAATTAACAGCTCCTAAAAGTGATGAGTCAATGTGTCGTACGGAAAGGGAGGGCTGCTGCTTGGTTAAAAGGACACGGGATCGAGATGGATCGTATTAAAACAAGGAAATTAGCAAAATGGAGACAAGGTTTTCAGATAAAGTGATATGGTGCAGAGGAGGGAAACGAGAAGCCTAGAGGAAGACCAAACAGTGATAGAAGAAAACATGAAGTGAGGTGTGAGAGCAGAGGATGTAGAGGATGCAAAGATACTTCAACCCTAGAGCACATGAGGCAGACTGAGCAGAAACAAAACAAAATATTTTCAAGAGTGACACACTGAGTGACACTTATGGACAGCCATCAGTGTTTTTATGCATACTCATATGATACAACTCGCACTTTTTTTCATGGTTTGGGTGTTTCCTGCGACTTACATATTAAAATCTATAATTTCACATGTTTGTAATGTTGACAGTGAAGTGTGAAGCGTGGAGAGGTTCAAGTCTTGTGTGTGAGTATCTGCTGCTCCTGTTCCTCCTGCGCCACTGTCACTTGGCTCTACTGCGCGTGTCTCCTGCAGAAAGAGCCTCTGTCCTGATAATAAAAGTTTTTATTATAGATCCAAGCTGCAATTTGTGAAATATGGAGCCAAAAATGGAAATCTAGCAGCAGAAAGAAAGTGGAGAAGGAGGAGAAAAGCGGAGGAAACTCGAACTGAAATAAAGAAAACAAAAAAAGCTCATCGCGGGCTAAAAGCTAGATTTTGTTGTTGGAGTTGCTCAGAAGTGACACCGAGGATGAAGAATTGATAGGATTTAGTGATTTGGAGTGAGATGGAGCGTTTGGTTAAACTTGTGTTTATGTTATAGTTTATCTGAAGAACTGTGAAATATGTGACGTTTACAGTCTGTTCTTCTCTCTTCTGTCGTTTTTTACTACAACTTGACTTTACACACGAAATGTCTGCACTTGCTCTCTCATTTTATAAAATTAATTTTGCCCCAAAAATGCCACTTATATATGTTTTTTTCTTCTTCATTATGCATGTTTTGGCTGATGCGACTTAAACTCCGGAGTGACTTTTAGTCCGGAAATTACGGTACTGACTGAGGTGTCAATTTACATGAACGAGGATTTACTAATTTGATTCTGCACATGGGAGAGAAGAAGATGGAAGTTCAAGTAGATGGAAAAAGTAACCCACAGAATGACTACTCCCTTAAAATGAAATCCAATTAGAAGAACATATTTACTGATACTACTACTACTACTCTTACTTTGCTACTGACGTACTGCTACTCTTGCTTAGGGCTGGGTGTCACACATAGACCACGCACGATACAAAAACACATCTCGATACAGTGCACTTTTGATTCGATATGATACGTTTCAAATCAATTCGATATGATTCAGTAAAAAATAAAGGTTAATTCAGGGCTATGACACTAAGTCTTTTTTAAATCACTTCGTGTGCAAAGTTCATATGAAACACAAACATTTTAATCATCAGAACAGTGAAAATGTCAAATTTGATGCATAAACGAGTTTCCTTCCACTGAACAAGCCACAAAACTGTAGCTCTGTAACTAAATAATTTAATAAAATACACACACACACAAAAATACTCTTGCCGATATACTGATACAGCAGCCCACGATATCCATATTCTATCATCACATTAAATGATACATCAATATATATCAATATTTCTGCTCACCCCTACTACTACTACTACTACTACTACTACTACTACTACTACTACTACTACTACTACTACTACTACTACTACTACTACTACTGTCGGGGAGTAACAGATTACATGTACCGGAGTTACATAATCAGAGTACAAATTATGAGTAACTGTATTCAGTTACAGTTACTGTTTCAGTGAGTGGTAATTGGATTACAGTTACTTTGTTGAAATAAATGGATTACACAGCGGGATTTTACTGTTTTCACATTTTGGGCTAAATCCCCCTTTTATATATTTTTTCCCGTAATTCCACTCATTGCCGGACACTAAACCAGGTTTAAAACCAGGTCTTAACCAGGACTAAAACCAGGTCTAAAACCAGGTCTAAACCAGGTCTAAAACCATGTCTAAAACCAGGACTAAAACCAGGTATAAACCAGGTCTAAAACCATTACTAAACCAGGACTAAACCAGGTCTAAAACCAGGTCTAAAACCAGGTCTAAACCAGGTCTAAACTAGGTTTAAACCAGGTCTAAAACCATGTATAAAACCAGGACTAAACCAGGACTAAACCAGGACTAAACCAGGACTAAAACCAGGTATAAACCAGGTCTAAAACCAGGACTAAACCAGGACTAAACCAGGTCTAAAACCAGGTCTAAACCAGGTCTAAACCAGGTCTAAACTAGGTTTAAACCAGGTTTAAACCAGGTCTAAACCAGCAAATCAAGTAATCCAAAGTATTCAGATTACTCACTTTAAGTAATTTAATGGATTACGTTCCAAACTACATTTTGGTGTATGTAATTTGTAATCTGTAGGGAAATACATATTAAAAGTAACCTTCCCAACACTGACTACTACTACTACTACTACTACACCCACTACAACTACAACTACCACTACTACTACTACTACTACTAGGAGGGATGATCTGCATAAACATAACACACTCTGGACGTGACTCTGTGGGATGTTGAACTAAAACTTGATTGAATGGAAAACCCCAATAATGACTAATTACATTATTTTTAGGTTGCAGACCCACAATGTTTTCGTATGAGTAATGTACCGGGCCAGTATCCGTGAGTCTAGAGACATTTCACGTGAGAGAAATGACACGTCCCCGTAGCTGAAACCGCATATTTTGACGAGTGAAAGGTGAATTTAGCCCGAGTTGAGCGCTCGGCCCGTTGGCGCTCCGGACGCCTCTGCTGGCTGCTGCGCGTGAATGCATGAGGAGGATAAAAAACACTTTGTACTAGGGCTGGGTATCATTAAGAAGTTGCTGATACGATACATACCTCGATACACAGGCCACGATACGATACATATCTCAATACACTGCACTTTCGATTTGATATGATATATTTCAAATCGATTCGATACAGTTCAATAAAAAATAAAGTCTAAATCATGGCTGTGATACTAAAAGTCTTTGTTAAAACACTTCTTGTGCAAAGTTCATATGAAACACAAACATTTTAATCATCAAAACTAGGGGTGTGCAAAAATATCGGAATATTGATATATCGAATTGTTTAATGTGATGATACAGTATGGATATTGTGGGCTACCGTATCGATATATCACCAAGAGTATTTTTACGTATGTTTTACTAAATTATTTTGTTACAGTGCTACAGTTTTGTTGCTTGCGGAGTGAAAGGAAACTCATTTATGTGACACATTTGACATTTTGACACCGTTTTGTGGATTAAAATGTTTGAGTTTCATATGAATTTTGCACATGAAGTGGTTTAACAAACACTTTTAGTATCACAGCCATGATTTAGCATTTATTTTTTATTGAACTGTATCGAATCGATTTGAAATATATCATACCGAATCAAAAGTGCACTGTATCGAGGTATGCATCATATCGTGGCCTGTGTATCGAGGTATGTATTGTATCGGGGCCTGTGTATCGAGGTATGTATCATATCGTGGCCTGTGTATCGAGGTATGTATTGTATCGTGGCCTGTGTATCGAGGTATGTATCGTATCGTGGCCTGTGTATCGAGGTATGTATCGTATCGTGGCCTGTGTATCGAGGTATGTATAGTATCGAGGCCTGTGTATCGAGGTAAGTATCGTATCGGCAACTTCTTAATGATACCCAGCCCTCATCAAAACAGTGAAAATGTCAAATGTGTCGCATAAATGAGTTTCCTTTCACTCCACAAGCCACAAAACTGTAGCACTGTAGCAAAATAATTTAGTAAAACACACGTAAAAATACTCTTGCTGATATATCGATACAGTAGCCCACGATATCGATACTGTATCATCACATTAAACGATACGATAGGTCGATATTCCGATATTTTTTTGCACACCCCTACTTTGTACACTGCCTGAAAACCTCGCGTTACCTTTCGCAGGGCTTGCACGAAGAGGCCTCTCCATTTGTGACTGTTCTCGTCACTGGAAAAGTCGTAGATCTGCTGGGGCTGCATGGCTGTAGCGGCTCCTGGCGTTGCCGTGCTCCGGGCTGAACCGTCAGCATCGGCCCCCGGGTTCAGAGTCCTGTGGGTGGGTCAGTCCAGGACAAGCGCCGCGGGGGGAAAAAATCCAGACACTTTGCGGCGAACAAAAAACGATCCCTAAAGCCCGATGGCCGCTTCGACGTCGAGTCAGTCCCCGCAAACCCCAGCTACATCGGTAAATAAGCACATGCAGCGATAAAGTTACGGCGCTAGCTCCCGGGCTAATGCGGCTAGCCTGCTGTAAACAAGCTAATTTAATGCTAAGTGGAGCGCTAACGGCTAATAATAATGTTGCTCCGTTTTATCCCGGATTCTTGCTCAGCGCGTATAACAGGCACATTCACGTCCAGGTAAAGTCAAGACATTTGAGTCGAACTGTCACCAACCGCACCTATCAGCTACGTTTGGTTATTTTCAGACCAAACACCTGTAAGATCAGCTAACGGGCTAATGCTAACTCCAGGCCTCGGTGAGTTTTATGTTGTGGCACACGACCCGTTTAGATCCAAACAAGGCACACTTTCTCCGGCGCCGTTTGCTTCACATTTAGTCATTTTTTCCCCCCCACACACGCACACACACACAGAGCGATCGGATGCGCAGGTAAATCCCGTAAATCCCCCCCCGAAAGAGGCAGCTCCGGGGTCCGGGAGGAGAGCGGTCCGCGGCAGCCGGGCAAGCAGCGCTGTTTTTGGGGTAAAGTCGAGATGTTCCACTCGGTGTCTCCCTCCGCGCTGTCTGTCAGGCGCATGGGCGTAAACAAGCCGGGCTCTGACGGGACAAGAGACCCCTTTCTTCTGCTTCCCTCCAGCGCTGAAAATTCACTTTTTATGTCACAATTTTAACAACTATTTTAAGATTTTCACTCATGATTTCCAGTCATTAAATAAGGTGATGAAAGTTGCTCTATTTTTTTATGCTCTATTTATAGACTGTTTGAAAAATTGTAAACAAAAACATCCTAAATTCTGGAATGGAGGCAGCTGGAGATAAAAGTGAAGTGGAACAATAATGCGATTTTCATGGGATAACTGAGATTAATTTCAGAATATCACAAATTATGAAAAATTAAGGGCAATTTGGAAAATGAAAACCACTCAGATCCATGTGAATGACAAGAGACCCTTTTTTACCGTTTCCCTCCAGGACTTGAAATTCACTTTTTATGTGACAATTAAAATACTATTTTAAGATTTTCACACATGATTTCCAGTAGTTAATTAAGGTGAAAGTTGCTCTATTTTTTATGCTCTATTTATAGACTGTTTGAAAAAATTGTAAACAAAAACATTCTAAACTCCGGAATGGAGACAGCTGGAGATAAAATTGAAGTGGCACATAATCAATCAATCAATCAATCAAACTTTATTTGTATAGCACTTTTCATACATTTGAAATGTAGCACAAAGTACTTCACATGCAACAGAAAAATTACAATACAATAATCAAAAACAACAGCAACCCCCCACCCCAACCCATTGTTTCATCCATATATACAGCAATTTAAACAAACATAAAGCCCCTAAAGGTTATAATAAAAATAAAAACTGAGAGCTGAAATCAGATGGAGACAAAGTAAAATAGTAATGATAATTTAATTTATATTCAATTTATTTTTAAATGTATATTATTTATAATAATTTAAGTTAAAAAAGGTAAAAGTTTCAATTAAAAGCTAAATAAAAAATATACGTTTTGAGTTTACTTTTAAAAATATGAACACTCACAGCGGATCTCAGATCCTCAGGTCGACTGTTCCACAGACGGGGGCCGTAAAAGCTGAATGACGCCTCACCGTGAGTTTTAGTTTGGACTCTTGGGACAGTTCACAGACGACTACCCGAGGATCATAATAACGCGACTTTCATGGGATAATTTGGATTAATTTCAGATTATCACAATTTTCAAAGCACAATCTGGAAAATGAAAACCACACAGATACATGTTAATGATCAGAGCCCAGTTGTAACGGGACTGACCCTTTTCTTCTGTTTCCCTCCAGCACTTCAAAATCACTTTTTATGTGGCAATTTTAACAACTATTTTAAGATTTCACACATGATTTCCAGTTGTTTTTTAAGGTGAAACTTGCTCTATTTTTTTATATAATTTATGTCTTTTAGACCCATTGAAAAATTGTAAACAAAAACATTCTAAACTCCGGAATGGAGGCCGCTGGAGATAAAAGTGAAGTGGAACATAATGCGACTTTCATGGGATAACTCGAATTAATTTCAGAATATCACAAATTATGAAAAAATCTAGAAAAAAGTGAAAAATTAAAACCACTTAGATCCATGTGAATGATGAGAGCCCAGTTATAACGGGCTCTGACGGGACAAGAGACCCTTTTCTTCTGTTTCCGTCCAGCACTGGGAATTCACTTTTTATGTGACAATTAAACAACTATATTAAGATTTTTACTCATGATTTCCAGTTGTTAATTAAGGTGAAAGTTGCTCTATTTTTTATGCTCTATTTATAGACTGTTTGAAAAATTGTAAACAAAAACATTCTAAATTCCAGAATGGAGGCAGCTGGAGATAAAAGTGAAGTGGAACATAATGCGACTTTCATGGTATAACTCGGATTAATTTCAGAATATCACAGATTGTGAAAAACTGAGGACAATTTGGAAAATGAAAACCACTCAGATCCATGTGAATGATCAGAGCGCAGTTATAACGGACTCTGATGGGACAAGACCCTTTTCTTCTGTTTCCTTCCAGCACTGGAAATTCACTTTTTATGTGACAATTAAACTACTATATTAAGATTTTTACACATGATTTCCAGTTGTTAATTAAGGTGAAAGTTGCTCTATTTTTTTTATATAATTTATGTCTTATAGACCGTTTGAGAAATTGTAAACAAAAACATTCTAAATTTCGGAATGGAGGCAGCTGGAGATAAAAGTGAAGTGGAACATAATGCGACTTTCATGGAATAACTCGAATTAATTTCAGAATATCACAAATTATGAAAAATCAAAGCACAATCTGGAAAAGAAAAAACACTCAGATACTTGTGAATGATCAGAGCCCAGTTTTAAAATGTTTACTTTTGTGTTTTACATTATTTGTTTATTTGACAAGAGATTATCATAAACACTAAGCATTTTTTCAAAGACAAAATCCACACTTTGAGGTTTTACTGCACAAATCCTTACAGAAATGCTGAGCCCACAACAGTTTTTCACTTCATCTACAGATATATTACACATTTCATCATAAATTATACTTTTTCTAAAGCCCAAATACTATTTTAGGGATACAAAACTGTATTTTTCCATCCTTCTTAAGAGAGAAGCAAAGGAAATAAGATTTGTACCTTGAAAATTCAAAATTGTTGTTTAATTTTTGTTGTAATGTCATAAAAACATTAGTATTTAAGTTTGCTCATCAGTTAATCATTGTAAATATGTTCATGTTTGCTTAATTTTGCCTCCATTCCAGAATTGTGAACATTCTGATGACAGAAGATTTGAAAGGGTTTATTAATACCAATCTCTTGCTATTTTTATTGCTACATTTAGAAGTTTATTACAATGTATTTTTACTCTGTGTTATTGTAATATATAGTGATGTGTGAGCAGCAATTTCTTTGACCCTTATTTGGCCTGCAGTGAGACTGGATAATAGAAACTATATTAGTAATACATATATATAGTTACACAGCTAAATTTAAATATATATAAAGTATTAGAATATGCTTTAGTTGGATATAAGATGCAAAAGGTGTAACAAATAATAAAATACAACACTGTGGTAGAGTAAATCTAAGGCTACAAAAACCCAACAGACATATATTGATAATAATTTACTGAATGTTTATTTAGATTTGTAATTAGAAAAAAAAAAAACATCCTGAATTTCACTTAATACATGCATTCAACAGCAGCTGCCCAGTTTTATATATTAAAAAAACAAAGTAGTAGCATAGTAAGCTGTTGTGGCATAGTAAGCTGAATATTCTTATTTTACAAAAAGACAAAAAGGAACTTATGTTTGTTTCTCATTGTATTATTCCTAAGGTCTTTTTCTAGTCATAAATAAGTCAGAGAATCAAACTTATTGTTACATTTGTGTCTTAAACTGTGTGAATGCAGAGTCAATACAGTAGACAAGTAAACAATACGAGGTCACAGAAATGTATAAAAATACTGAAAATCTCTATCAATTCTGAACAATACTGTGAATAATATTACCATTACTCACATCCTTTTACCTGAGTGTAAGAACTGAGTAGTTTATTTATTTAAAAGTAAGCATTAGGATTTATTCCTATGACTCATTTCAGAAAAAAAGTGTGTCACCCAGTTCACTTGTACTTGTTTACTGGAACACCTTTCCTGAGGCACATCAACCTCCCAGCGCCTATTCATTATTTAGAATCTTGTGGCGCCCCCTGGTGGACAAACCGGACCATTATCTTAATGCCTCCCTCTTAAACCCTCTAAAAATCACGTGACTACTTTTGAACGACTCTGACTCTTTCATAAATATAGAGAGAATAGCCTCACGAACAGAACTGATGGGCAGCAGTATGAAAGTCAAATCGTTGCAAAACGTTTACATGTATAAATGTTTGGGATGTAACAATAATGGAAATATGGTGATCTTGTATCGTCAAAAAGTCTCACAATAATATCGTGGACTGTCACAATATACTGAATTACAAGTTCCTTTGCTTAAATGCATAGTTTTATAGTGACAACGTCTTAAAGACATCGGGAACTACATTTCCCATGATTCATTTCAGTGCAGACAACATGAAGAAAAATGTTTTTTTACTTGAATTCTTGGGATTATGATGGAAATAATTCACACCAAAATTGTCAAGGTATTTTAAAAGCAAAAAAGTGTTGCGTCTACAATTATATCAGCCTCTCCAAAATACTGCAATAAATATCATACTGCGAGATCCATATCGTGACAATATCGTACCAAGAGTTTTGAATATTGTTACATCCCTAGTAAATGTTGATTTGTACAATGGTACATAAAGAAATATTTTCTTTTCCACATTTTTTTAACTATAAATTTTGTTATTCACTAATAAGATTTTCACTGACACATTGTTTTACAAATAATAATGACAGTAATAATAATAAATAATAAATCAGACTTACTGAATATAGCGCTTTTTTTGGACACAAATAGGAAGTAACATTGAGCTACAGATAAAAAGAACAAATATGAAAATTGTTTAGTTATGAAATTTGTAAGTGAAAAATGTACTTTGTTAGAGAAAAACAAAATTTGCAAGTGTAAAAAATATATATGTTTATTTACCAGTGTACAAATCAACATTTACACATTCAGTAGTTTTGGAACGATTTGACTTTCATACAGCGGCAGCTCAGTGTTTTGCACGTCAGTCAAAAAAGTTCACCTTTGGTCAGAGCAAACTTCTGTTGGGTCTTTGGGCAAGACACCTCCCCCGCTGTCCCTGTTGTGTCTACATACGCTGGTTTAGTGTGGAGCTTTAGTCTGTTTGGAAATGCAAGAGAACAAACAAAACGACAACAAGCTTTAACTTTTTAACCCTTTGAACATTTGTATAAAACACTATAACTGCCCATATTTGAAAGGTAAACATTTATATTCATGTAAAAACAAATGGGCACATCGCTCTGCAGTGAAATTACAATCTAAAGTATAAAAAATAGGCACTTTCAGTAGTCATAAAAAAAAGTTACAGACTCGGAGGTAGCTTCGTTAGATAATCGTGTGATTTTTCAGGAAGCATTTC